TACATCCTGGAGAGGGTGAAACCAAATTGTTCTTTGAAGGCAAGGATTTTTGAGGCCCCCTTTAACATATTTTGCGCATATTGTCAGGGGAGACCAGTCCTTGGAGAAGGACATCATGCCTGGAAGTGTGGAGGGATAGCACAGGAAAGGAAGACCCTGGATGAGACAATTTGACACACTAACTAGGGTAATAGGGGTATGTAGTTCAGAGAAAGTGATAGGGCTCAAGATAGGGCAGGGTTCAGCACTATTGTGCATCAGTTCTCCGTGAGTTGTATTCAACTTGATGGCACACAACACCATGTTGAGAATTTCTGCCATTTCAGTCTTGATATTCTACATTGTTTTTCCATATTTTTCTGTTGTTTCTAGTAATGTATTGGCTGTATATTCTCTGTTCCACGATGACTTTTTTCTTTTTTTTTCTTTTATTGTTACTTTTTACTTATGGCTTCCTCTTTTTCTTAGAGCGTTTGTAACTTCGTCAGTACCAGTTCTTGAATCTCCACTGTGGCATCGTTCTTCTGCTTTCCTATCTCTGAGGTATCATTGGGTCCTTGTCCTGGTCTGTTTTTTTAGAAGTAAGAATGTTTTCATTTTCAGAACACTGGACTTCACTGCCTGTCTCCTTGACATTATGTATACTAGATGGAAGAGAGGAGGGGAAAGGCTGTTTCTTCCCTGAGTAGATGAAGCCTCTTAGAGGAGCTGGGAACTTCCCAGGGATGCTTCCTGAGATCCTTCCCTCCACAAGTTTCCCCAAGACAACAGGCACCAGTGTCTTCTCCAGAGGCTGGGTGGGAGGGAGCACCTCCACCTTATCTTGCAGAATTTCTGTAGGGAGCTTCAAACTTTTGGGGAATGCCACCACCAGAACTATTCCTTCTCCATGTGTCCATTGTTGTGATGTACCCATGTACTCTCATGTGATTGAGTGAAGGGAGGAGAGGAGGACACTTCAAGCTTAGCTGACTGACTCTCTGGAGGCGAGAAAGGGGCTGGGAGCTTTCTGTGAACTCAGCCATCAAGAATCCTCCCTCAGGATTACCTATCAAAAGTTCAATTCTATTATTTGATTGAAAAACAAATCTTTAAGAAATGAACTTTTTTTTATTTTGAAAAGGTCTCATTCATCAATTTTATCCTCTAATGGTTTTGCAGTTTTGGCTACATTTGCAAGAGTAATTATGCCATAAGTTAGGGATTCTAAATTTGGTCCCATTTTGTTTTTATGATCCTTATGGTTTTGAGATTTATCCATGTCTAATCCATATTGAGTTGATTTTTGTGTGTGATGTAGGATGTGAATGTTATTGCAATTTTCTGCAGCTAAATGTTTAGTTGGTATTTCCTCAAAAACTTAAACATAGAAATCTCATATGACTCAATTATTCCACTGCTAGGAAGATACATAAAGGAAATCATAACTGAGACATACCTATGTTCACAGCAGAAAAATAAGAAAAGCCTGAATGCCAACAACAAAAGAATGGATTGAGAAATTGTAGTACATTGGTACAATGGAATTTGGTGCAGACCTAAGGAATAATGATTTTGTAAAATAACATGGGGATTTGAGAGCATCAGTCTCATCGGGATAAATATTGCATAAAACCAATATTGTAAAAAACGGCAATTGAGTAAGATATATAAATATACAAAATAAGAAGGAGAGGGGGTAAGAAAAGGGAGAAAGAAGGGAAATCAAGAGGATAGCAGTGATTTTTGGGTAGATGGGAGTGGTGAAGGCATAGGTAAGATGCTATAGGGATTTGAAAACCTGAAGTGATAATTGCTGCTGTCATTGGTCGCCATCAAGCATGAGTCACAGCGATCCTATGAACAAACGTCTTGGAGCCTTTCTATAAGTATCGTCATTTCCCAAAGGTCATAGAATTTCCAGAGGCATGTTGTTTAGGAAGTGGAAGCCACTCCTGCTTCCAAGAAGTGATAATAGGCATAGATTAATAGTAATTAATTATATAAAATACAAAGTATATGAATGTGTAAAACACAATGTACATTAATGAAACACAATATCTATGAATGATTTTATAAAACAAAATGTCCATAAATGAAATGCAACATATATGAATAATTGACCATTTATTAACTTTCCAAGACTTTAAATTACATGTAATAAGATTTCCCTCTCTTTTTTCATGGAGAATGGTTGGTGGATTTGAACCAGAAAAGTGAGGTCACAGAGTTAGTATTACAACTGTCTTTGAAATACTGTTATTGTTGTTAAGTTTCATTGAGTTGAGCATGACTTTGAGCAACCCTATGAACAACAGATTGAGTATGAAAGCCTCAGCCTTCATAACTTCGAGATTGAGTATTATCTGCCTGACTATGCTTCCCGGCTATACTTAAAAGAATTACAATAGAAGGTTTTGAACAGAGAAGTGGGAAATGAGGAACAAAACTTAAAATCATAAGAGCCTCAGGCTTTCTGGCCAGAACCCCAGAGACAATGGTCCTTATCATCTTTCCACCCTGAGACTCATTTGACCTTAATGGTTAATTTTCAGCCAAACAATAGTCAAGTTAGTATCTTAAAGTTAAAAATAAAGTTAAAAAGATTGGAAGGGTTATAAAAGAGGGAAAACTGGAAATGAGAAATACCTACAAGGAATGGCATCTCTGATGCTACTTTGTGGAGATATAACTGTGGTGTTTGTCTAAAGTTGGCTTTTATTAGCCATTACCTTAGCCCCTCTGGTTTTCAGCTACCTGTAAGCTGCAAACACATGGTCTTGCAAATTTTCAACAGCGGTTGGACTAGTATAAGAGAAAGAATCCTTCCCACACTGAGCAGCAAGATTTGAGGGAGACTGGAGCAAGACTTGGGTGGGAGTGAAACACTGGTGATGTGGAAAAACTGGTAAGATGTAATCAGAGTAGCTGTGAGAAATGCTACAGTTAAAGGTTGTTAAGTTTTTGCTTGAAGATTGAAGGAGAAACTGATTTAAACTTCTGTGACGCAAACCTTGCCAGATGATTTGGTGACTGCTAAATTGAAACTAGGACCTTGCTGGATGATTTGGTTTTGACTGCTGAACTGAAACCAGGGCTTTAACTAGTTAAGTAATTGTGTTTTGCTGCTAAACTGGCTTGAGACTGTTTGACTAACCCTGGACCTGTACTGTGAGATATTCTTCACCTCTCCCACTCCCCAAATTATTTCCCTTAAAAAAACACAAAAACCAAAACCCCATTTTTGGTACCACAACTATATGTCCTATTTTCTGTTCCTTTAGCAGTAACCAATATTACAAAACAAAATGTATGTGAACTGTTAAATGGAAAATGAATTTTTTCTGCAAACATTCACTTCCAGTGTGTATGAATTATTCAGTTGAAAACAGCTTCATTGTAAGCCTTCACTCAATTTAAAATAGAAACTTTTAAAAATTAGACTGAGCTTATTGCTTACAGAAATGCTAGTTGTTTTAACCTTTTTTTTCAGTATCTCTATTTCCTATGTGTTATGACAGCCTAAGAAACAATATTATTCCTTAAAAGGGAAAATACATTTTAATACAGAATCTGAGCACCGAGCAGTATCAACCCTAGGACATATTTGGGAAAAAGTAATAAAACGTATCTTGAGTTAAAAATATTTAAAGATGTGTTATGTGAAGGCATTGAAATAATTTGACACCAAAAATAGAACATATTTTGAGACTGTTTCCAAATTGTAGGATGAATTTCTCTAAGATTTTCTCTTTTGGGGAGAAAATAAAGCCAAATATGTAAGATTCTATTTTGTTGTATAGATGCTTTGAGATCAGACCTTCTTTTAAAAATATTATATTTTAAAATAGCACCCTGTCTCTTCATTATTTTTTTATATACAAACTGCTTTTTAGTCTAGTTTCAGATCCTAGCTACCCCCCGTAAAATACGAAGTAATATTCCAAGTTGTGCTATCCTCACAATTGCTGTAATATCTGAGCCTACCTTTGCATTATTGCGTCAGTCTTTGCTATTAACACCTTTTGCTCAGATATGCCACCAAAAGTTCATCTGAAAAAGCTTCAATACTTTCTGGCCCTCTGATGTTTCTATTTATATAATTTTGCATATGCTGTAAGTATATTTGGGCTTTGCAGGTCAAGTAGTAAGAAACTTCACTGCCAACTGAAAGGCACACATTTTTAATCCACCAGCTGCTCCAGGGAAGAAAGATGGACACTCTCCTCCCATGTAATTACTGCCCCTGAAAACCCACTGGAAGTTCAGATGGGAATCTGTTCTGACTCACTTGTACATAACAACTATATCATAAGCATATCTAGTTATGTCATTAGTACGCACAAACCGGCAAATAATAAATTTTTACATATTATTTACCTTGTTTACTTACTCCAGGAATGTAAGAATCACATTAAAACATGAAAGACTATAAATACTCATGGGGCTTTTTCTAATGACTATATAAAAATGAGAATAAGCCCTTAAAATGTTTGTGTGTTTAGTTTTTAAATGAATCATTCCCTTTTTGAGAAATATATTGGTAAGCAAAATTAAGTTTCTAACTGACCACTATTACAGGTATTTTACTCTTTTTCAAGTGACACTTACTTAAGTTTCTGTGTGAGTTTCCTTAAAAGTTTTTTTTTAAAAAAAGACATTCTCTTTAAGAGAATACTCAGCAAATATTAGGTTGGCACATTAGTATATTTTAAATAAAATAGAAAACTAGTTCTGAGTATAACCACCAAATTATTTGAAAGTATTTAAATTTCTCTTTTCATTTCATATGACTTCTCATGTACATAATGCATAAGAAATTGATAAAATATTTAGAAATAAACTAAAATCAGGAACTACAAAATTAAAACAAGACATGTCCTTCTTATATTCCCTTTAATTTTAAATCATCATGGGGTTACTAAGTTTATATGGCATGTGAATAGTCACAATTACAATACTAAAATTTTGTAATGACATGACATCTAATGTGTGCTGCGTACAGGTCTAGAATCAGGTACCTTTGTTGTTATCCATTCCTCCTACAGCATACAGAGTTCCAACTGTCGATTTTCTAGGTTTAGTTCTGGGACTTTGCATTAAAGTTCTTCTTTCTGGCAACAGATGGTATTTCATTGCTTCCAGAATCAGCTTTTGACATTCCAAATCATTCTTAAATAATGCATGGTTCTCTAGATCAGCCAATATCTGTGAACAACATATAATCACTGTTAGTACCTTTTAAAGGTGTTCATATCCTATCAGCACTAAAAATGAAAAGTTGAAAGCCTAGGACACTCTTATACTAAAGAGAGCCATAATTTCATAAGCACTTATAATTATACAAGTAAATAAATGTGATTACAATGAATGGCCTCTAAAAAAACAGAATAGAAATTGTTGTTCATGGAGTATTATCTTGTATCTTTGTTGTTGTTGTTATGTGCCGTCGAGTCGTTTCCGACTCATAGCGACCCTATGCACAACAGCCCTAAACCCTGCTCTATCCTGCGCCAACCGCAC